ACATGTGGTTCGGCAATCTGGTCACAATGGACTGGTGGGACGACCTCTGGCTTAACGAGGGTTTTGCCTCCTATATGGAGAATCTGGGCGTCAATTACATACACCCGGATTGGTATGGATTGTGTGGCCCAACGATATCACCAAACAATTTGCTTATAATTGTTTTGTTTTTTGCGGTTGAATAGGAAAATGTTGGACCAATTCGTGGTGACGACTACCCAGTGGTCGATGGCATTGGATTCGCTGCAGAGCTCGCATCCAATCAAAGCGCACGTCAAGAATCCGGCAGAGATTGAGGCCTTGTTTGATGTCATATCCTATAAGAAGGTAACAATAAATAAGACATTACACTTAAAATATCACCATGGTAATACTAACTTATTTTGATCTGTAAAGGGCGCCGCTCTGACCCGAATGCTAGAGAACTTCTTGGGAATGGATGGCTTGAGGGCCGGACTGTCGAAGTTTTTGCACAAATACCAGTACAGAACCGCCAAAACCAGCGATTTGTGGCACTGTTTCTCCGACGTAAGTGACAATTAGCTGATCCCAAAGCTACCTCTTAATCGCTACAATCAATATCACTTAATCTCTTAATCGACTCGTAGGTGAGCGCAAAGCAGGCCATCAACGTGTCGGCCATTATGGACACGTGGGTCGAGCAGAAGGGCTATCCTGTGATAACTGTCCGCCGCCGGGGTTCACAACTGGTGCTCTCTCAGCGCCGATTCCTGTCGAGCGTTGCCGAGTCGGACACCGCATCGCTCACCGATATATCGCCGCACGGATACGTCTGGATAATACCCGTCACACTCGTCACCGACCGGACCATCAGCAGCACCGGTAAGACCAGTGCCGCCGCCGCCGCACCGCAACTCATTTGGTTGAACGAGACCGAGATGTCGGTGCCGTCGCCGCCGGTGGACCAGTGGTTCAAACTGAACGTCAATCAGTCGGGCTATTATCGGGTGAACTACGAGCCCTCTGTATGGCAGGCGCTGACCGACACACTCAACAATCACGGCTACAATCGGCACCGGCTGT